CCTACAAGCCCCCCCTCATGCCTCCGTGCTCCTCTGGGGCTGGGATCAGGGTGGAAAGTCCATGTTGACACCATAACCGGTTTCCCCACGTTAGAAAAGGGAACCAAATACGGCAGGGGTTGGAACTGGGTGCGAATTCACACAAAAACTTTCAAAAACAAGCAAATTCCGCCCCCTACAAGCCCCCCCGCATGCCTCCGTGCTCCTCTGGGGCTGGGATCAGGGTGGAAGGTCCATGTAGACACCATAACCAGTTTCCCCATGTTAGAAAAGGGAACCAAATAGGACAGGGGTTGGAACTGGGTGCGAACTCACACAAAAACTTTCAAAAACAAGCAAATTCCGCCCCCTACAAGCCCCCCCTCATGCCTCCGTGCTCCTCTGGGGCTGGGATCAGGGTGGAAGGTCCATGTTGACACCATAACCAGTTTCCCCACGTTAGAAAAGGGAACCAAATACGGCAGGGGTTGGAACTGGGTGCGAATTCACACAAAAACTTTCAAAAACAAGCAAATTCCGCCCCCTACAAGCCCCCCCTCATGCCTCCGTGCTCCTCTGGGGCTGGGATCAGGGTGGAAAGTCCATGTTGACACCATAACCGGTTTCCCCACGTTAGAAAAGGGAACCAAATACGGCAGGGGTTGGAACTGGGTGCGAATTCACACAAAAACTTTCAAAAACAAGCAAATTCCGCCCCCTACAAGCCCCCCCGCATGCCTCCGTGCTCCTCTGGGGCTGGGATCAGGGTGGAAGGTCCATGTAGACACCATAACCAGTTTCCCCACGTTAGAAAAGGGAACCAAATACGGCAGGGGTTGGAACTGGGTGCGAATTCACACAAAAACTTTCAAAAACAAGCAAATTCCGCCCCCTACAAGCCCCCCCTCATGCCTCCGTGCTCCTCTGGGGCTGGGATCAGGGTGGAAAGTCCATGTTGACACCATAACCGGTTTCCCCACGTTAGAAAAGGGAACCAAATACGGCAGGGGTTGGAACTGGGTGCGAATTCACACAAAAACTTTCAAAAACAAGCAAATTCCGCCCCCTACAAGCCCCCCCGCATGCCTCCGTGCTCCTCTGGGGCTGGGATCAGGGTGGAAGGTCCATGTAGACACCATAACCAGTTTCCCCATGTTAGAAAAGGGAACCAAATAGGACAGGGGTTGGAACTGGGTGCGAACTCACACAAAAACTTTCAAAAACAAGCAAATTCCGCCCCCTACAAGCCCCCCCTCATGCCTCCGTGCTCCTCTGGGGCTGGGATCAGGGTGGAAAGTCCATGTTGACACCATAACCGGTTTCCCCACGTTAGAAAAGGGAACCAAATACGGCAGGGGTTGGAACTGGGTGCGAATTCACACAAAAACTTTCAAAAACAAGCAAATTCCGCCCCCTACAAGCCCCCCCGCATGCCTCCGTGCTCCTCTGGGGCTGGGATCAGGGTGGAAGGTCCATGTAGACACCATAACCAGTTTCCCCATGTTAGAAAAGGGAACCAAATAGGACAGGGGTTGGAACTGGGTGCGAACTCACACAAAAACTTTCAAAAACAAGCAAATTCCGCCCCCTACAAGCCCCCCCTCATGCCTCCGTGCTCCTCTGGGGCTGGGATCAGGGTGGAAAGTCCATGTTGACACCATAACCGGTTTCCCCACGTTAGAAAAGGGAACCAAATACGGCAGGGGTTGGAACTGGGTGCGAATTCACACAAAAACTTTCAAAAACAAGCAAATTCCGCCCCCTACAAGCCCCCCCGCATGCCTCCGTGCTCCTCTGGGGCTGGGATCAGGGTGGAAGGTCCATGTAGACACCATAACCAGTTTCCCCATGTTAGAAAAGGGAACCAAATAGGACAGGGGTTGGAACTGGGTGCGAACTCACACAAAAACTTTCAAAAACAAGCAAATTCCGCCCCCTACAAGCCCCCCCGCATGCCTCCGTGCTCCTCTGGGGCTGGGATCAGGGTGGAAGGTCCATGTAGACACCATAACCAGTTTCCCCATGTTAGAAAAGGGAACCAAATAGGACAGGGGTTGGAACTGGGTGCGAACTCACACAAAAACTTGCAAAACCAAGCAACCAAAGCCCCCCCGGCATACCTCCGTGCTCGGTTGGGGCCAAAGGTTGGGTGATAGGTCCATGGCAACACCAAATCTACTTTCCCTATGTTAAAAGACGGTGGTTTATATGGGAGGGATTGAAAAAGAGTGCGAATTCAACCTGAAACAAACAAATTCAGCACTAGACAGCCTCTCCCGCATATCTCTGTGCAGCTGTGGGGCTGGGAATTGGGAGGAAGGTCCGTGGCAACTCTCCGCCCAACTGCCCCCGGAAAAGAGCGGAACCAATCACGCAATGACTAAAAAACGAGAGCAGATTAACCTTTAAAACACTCAACACCTGCACCTTAACGTCACCCCAACATACCACCGTCCTCTGTTGGGGCTGGGATTTGGGTGGGAGGTCCATGGCGAGTCCACCCTCGTGTTCCGCACTCCAAGAGACGAACCCCAAATCGACACACCCTGAATCTGAGAGGAAAAGCAGAAAGAGACACAAACCAAAACATGCGAAGACAACAAATCACAAACAAATGTGATCCAACTATGGTAAAATTGGCCAGGGAGGATCCTGGGGAGTCCAACCCTATGATTCCCACGCCACATAACGGAACCAGAAATGGCTCACCTTGAATCTGAGCTAAGAACAACATGGGACACAAAACAAAGCATGCAATGTCAAAAAATCACAACCAAACGTTAACCAAACATATTAGAAGTTTGCTGGGAGGTCCATTACCATAATGGTCATAGGTCACTGGCACAAAAAGAAGGTGGTGCAAAAGTTGGTTTTTGAACCAAGTAGTCTTGGTTCATTAAGGTGGCACTAGGATAGCATACTGGGCCACCCCTGTATCCCAGCTAGTCCCATCACCTGAAAAAGACCCAAAGCCGTCGAATGTGACAAAAGGGAGGGAGGCATGTTAAAAGCACCTAATTCCGATATAAAACGTAATTCAAAACGCGCATTCCACAAAGTCGTACGCAACAACTAACCATTTTCAGGTCACCATTGCATCTCTGGGACTAGGATGCGCATAAAATACAACCACCTCAACCAACTTACAGGTTAGTTCTACGATGCGAACCAGGTACTTGTCTATCCTACCTAGATCCGGGTTTAGGCACTAAAACTATATAGAATGTTTGGAATGCATGTAGAAGGTTTGGAATGTTACGAAGCAACACACTGTTTTGTTGGGTTCAGCAGCCCAACAGCAGCCCATGGAAAGTTGGGTGCACTAGCAAACACTGCCAGCGCCCCAACCGAGCAGCAACACCTTCCAGCAGTACAGCTGGCGTGTATGTTGTAAAATCTACCCGCTGGCGACCGCTGACTGGTTCTAAATTACTTACGAGCACCGCCTTACCTTATCTTCGTTGTGCGATGCGCAGCACAGAGACCTCACCAGGTTGCCGACCAATTGGGCCGGATGGTTGGCCAATAGTGTCGCGTTTTGGTCTCCGCGCGGTCTCCAAACCTCGCGCAAATCCCACCGTCGCTGTAACCAGCACTACCAACGACAGGCTGGGTAAACACCCGCAAAGCTCCCTCGAAACCCAGTAGTTACGATGTCGCACTTCTGTAATGAAATCAGTGACTTTAGGACAAGAACGCGCGGGGAGGTGGGGCTTTTGGCGTTTTTTTTGTGTGTTTAAGTGCCGTTTCGCATTTCTTGCTGGTTTTGGGTAGGCACGAATTACCATTTCGCCCTGCCCCCCTAAATCTCCCTTGTTGCGCGTGTTCACCCCTTCTCGCCGGCCCCCCCCCCCTCCCAGCAGATCAATAGCGCCCATGTCGCGTCGCAAATTCCCCTCTTGTTCCACCAATTGCGCACCCACGTCCCCCCTCCCTGCCCGTCGCAGAAGGGCACCCTCATCCCGCCCTCGGCCAGTCGTACTTGCGCTCATCCACGTCCCGCCTTCCTAGCACACCACGGCTCTTCTTTCTCCCTCCCTTCATCCTCGCGCCCACGTTCCACACCCCCACGGCATCGTCCTTCCCCCTCCCTTTCATCCTTGCGCCCGCATCCACCTCTCCCCCTCACGCCATTGTCCATCCCTCTCCTCGTTTTTTGCCAACCCCCTTTTTCAGAAATGCTCTTGTTGCTGTCTCTAGCATCAACTCTCCCTGGAAAGCTCTCGTCCTAGGGGTCTAGCAGGCCGCATATCAGAGCAGTCCAGCCCATGACGGAGCTCAGGAGAGCGATCCTTCCTTTTCGAGCAGCCAACCCTCTTCCTTCCCACGGTTCTCACAGACCTCGTAGTTCCCCCCGCTATAGCTGGCCGCGTAACTTGGCAGTCCAGCCCATGATTCCCTTTCGAGCCGCCATCCCCCCACCGTCCAAATCGCACGGTCCCTTCAGGCCTCGATACAACGGGGCACCTTTAGTGGGGTCCCACCATGTTCATTACTCCACCGCGTCGGCCACCTTAGTCGCGATCACACGGCGTCACCGTTTAGTGGCGCGCCGACGTGGCGGGGTGAGCATGGTCGTGCTATCGCGTCGGCAGAGATCCGACGTGATGCCAACGTGACCGCGTGTTGTTTGCAGCTGAGAGGCCTTGGCGTCGTCTCCGTTGGGGCTGTCGAGCTGGGTTGCCCGTCGCTCTAAGGATCCTCCGAGATGTTGCTATAAAAGCAGGGCTCGTAATATCCTTATACACATGTCATACCAGCGGCCTTAGCGTGGTCCAGTCACATACCTCTTTACTCCGATCCACCAACAGCCATGTCTCAGCCAGCTCTCTCCGACTCTAGGGTACCCGGTGGCAGTGGAACAACCAAGCGCAAAGTGAAGACGGGACGCAAGCGGGCGTCCCCCAAGAAACCTCGCCAGGATGCCCCGGGTACGGGTGAGGACTGTTTTGCCCAGGACATTCTAGGTGAGGACCTCACAGGGTCGGAAGGCAATGACTCCGCCGGTTTAGAATGGCAAGGCGCGACGACTGCCGTCGGCGAACTCGGCACTGGAGATGCGGGGCCAGCCGATCATGCACCAGAGCATGTGGAGGACAACCTCGGTGGTGAGGAGGCGTTCGAAGAATTGGCAGAGGCGGCCGAGGCTGACGAGGCGAAGGCCGACGATGAAGTGGCAGGAGCTGGGGAGGCGGGAGAGGAAGATGCATACGCGGAACATGATGGCGAAGAGCGGGTAGAGGAAGATGGTGCGGACGAGGATGCCGAGGAGGAGGAGGAGGAGGAAGAAGAGGAGGAGGAGGAAGAGGGGGATGGGGAGGAGGAGGAGGAAAGGGAGGAAGAGGAGGAAGATGAGGAAGAGGAGGAGGAGGAGGAGGAGGAGGAGGAGGAGGAAGAAGAGGAGGAGGAGGAGGGGGATGAGGCGGAAGAAGAGGAGGGAGGGGAGGAGGCAGTCGGGGTGGAGGGCATGCAGGTGGTGGCGGCCAACGACGACTCGGATGCTAGTGCCCACTACCTGCGAAACATGCGGAGCGCGCGAGCGCAGGCGCTGAGTAAGCAGTCTACATGGGACGAGGAGGAGGAGGCCGAGCGCATGCTGAGGAAGGGACGTTTTCTCCAGCTCGGCTCGCTGCACGGGGACCCGCCGGCCAACGAGGCTGCCAAGGCCGGCCAACCAAAGTCCGGCACCCGTGGAGGGGGGGGTAATTGGCGTGCAGGAACCTCTCGGGCGGCGGGGACGGGTGACGGGAGGGCGGCTGGAGTTGGTAGTGCACGGAATGCACGGCCCAAGGCGGTGGGCCGGAGGCCTTTCGCCGAAGCAGCGAAACCGGCCAAGGGAGCAGACAAGGGCAACAAGGCGGGTGAGTGTTTTACGTTTTCTACTCCCTCGGCTTTGTTTACTGTTTTGTCGAGTACCTTTGCCCAAAACCTAAGGCTTGTGCTCCCCCTTATGCCATGTTGCCCCTCTGCACCCTAGCAGCTGTGGCGGATGCCAAGGCTTCTGCAAAAACGCAGAAGCCCAAAAGAGGTCTGTACTAGTTTAGAGGGTTGTCGCTCCACAGCATTGCATCACTAAAATGACCTCGCCTCCTTCCCCTTCCCCCCCGACGCCCCCCATCCATCTCGTCTAACACTAACCCCCCTTGCTCCATACCCTACACTCTCAAAAGGATACCCCCTCTACACCCTCCCCGCCCCGCCCCACCCCCCCCCCCCCCCCCCCCCCCCCCCCCCCCCCCCCCCAACTCACCCCGCCTGCAGTTGTGTTGAACTCCGGAGTGGGCCCGCCGGACACAATTGAGCACATCCATCTCGCGCCCGGGGGTGGCATGAGGGGGGGTGTCATGAGGCGGGCTGCCACTGTGGGCAGCCCTGCGAACCCCGGCTCTGCGGTGTGGCGCATGACTACTTCTGGAGCAGGAGGTCAACGCACCCCTCCTCCGGGGGCCGGCTCTATGGCTGCGGGTGCGGCACGCGCTGCGTCAGCGGCAGCGGCGGTACTGGCAGCACGACCAGGGGGAGCGGCACGCACAGCGGTGGCGGCGGCGGCGGCGGGGACAGCACGCGCCCCATCAGCAGGAGCGGCACGTATGGCGGCAGCGTCGGCGGCTGATGGTCATGCGCGTTCGGTGTTGGCGGCGGCCCGGACGGCGGCAGCGGCAAGGAGTGGGGCTTCTCAGCAAGGTCCAAGCATGAGGCCCACTGCTACGCCGGCTGCACGGCCCGTCGTACAGGGCGCGGCACAAGCACCGAGGAGCATGACAGCAGTGGCGGCACTCGCGGGTCAGCAGCAATACGCTACGAGAGCCGAGCTCGCAGCGATGAGAGCGGAGATGCTTCTAGTCATTGAGCAGCACGGGGCTGCGTGGGGCACTGTTCCTGCCGGTCCAGTCACGGTCCATGAGCCCGCAGGGGGCCTGCAGGCAGGCGCGGCTCCAAGGCGCTCCCTGGTTAGGGGGGCGGAGCAGATTGCCCTGGAATCTGTCCTTATCGATGCAGGAGACTGGAAGGTATGTGTCCGCTGCACCGTCATAGCACTTCACTCCGCACACACCACCTCTCTCTCTTGCTCAATCCCGGTCTAAACCCTAGTGCCGCACCTCGCTTCACACTCTCCCATGTCTGACAATCTCCCTGTGCCCAACTTATCCTGTGCACGCTACTCGCGAGTTACTTCTTACCATCAGTATTTCATCTTCGTACAATCCTCCATCACTCCCACCAGCCCATCCCCTCATTGCCTGTTACCTCTTACCCTGATACATTTTCACATGTTACCTCTTATGTTGTTATTTTTTGCTCTGTTACCCTTTGCCCTGCTACCTCTTGCCCTGTTACCACACACCATGTTACCTCTTGCCCTGTTACCTCATTCCGTGTTACCTCTTACCATGTTACCCTAAACCCAGTTACTTCTTGCTCTGTTACCTCCTTCCTTGTTACCTCTGACCATGATACATCTTGCCCTGTGACCTCGTGCCCTGTGACCTCTTGCCCTGTGACCTCTTGCCCTGTGACCTCTTGCCCTGTGACCTCTTGCCCTGTGACCTCTTGCCCTGTGACCACTTGCCCGGTGACCTCTTGCCCTGTGACCTCTTGCCCGGTGACCTCTTGCCCTGTGACCTCTTGCCCTATGACCTCTTGCCCTGTGACCTCTTGCCCTGTGACCTCTTGCCCTGTGACCTCTTGCCCGGTGACCTCTTGCCCTGTGACCTCTTGCCCGGTGACCTCTTGCCCTGTGACCTCATACTCTAGTACCTCTTACCCTGTTACTTCGTGCCGTGTTACCTCTTGCCTAAACCTTGTTCCATCTTACCCATCATCCCGCCCCCTCTTTCCCTGTTGTCCTCCTTAATGTTCCACAGGTGAAGTGTCGCACTCTAGTTACCGAGTTCTACTGGCTGAAAGAAGCCTCAAAGATCCAGATGTACCCTGCGACCGTCGAAGTCATTGAAGGTTTCAGCACCTACCTGTCCCCTGACAGCATGCCCCATGTGCAATTGCTCTGGAACCATCAGTGCCCTACCACCAAAGGAGCCTTTCTCACTGCCTGTAGCAACACTCGTTGCTCCATAGGCAAGATCTTTCGTCGCATCGTTCTAACCGCATTGGGCAGTGAGAAGAAGAAGGACAAGGTTAGCCGTCTGCCCAGGGAGCTGGATCGTCCCACCGTCTACGTGAACGATGCAGAGCTTGTCCGCGACAACATGAACGGTGAGTTGCCAAGCAAGCATCCACATGGTAGTATTTGCAGGGCTAGTTCACTAATCACATCTCCTTTATCCAAATGGCTGTTTTGGAGACACAGATGATTGGGGCATGGATTGGCACATGGACAAGCCCACGGAGTGGCCCTTCTCCACCCACTTGTTTGCCATTGCCATGGCCAAGGCCTTCACACGGAGGGGGGTGGACATGGTTTCCTGGAAGTCCCGCATGGTGGCGTTCGCCTTGTTCTCGGTGAGCTGGTCTTTGTGATCCTCAGGTTGCTTATTGTAGTGCGGCCGCTAGCTATTAGAGGCACCCATCCTTATCCCTTGTACCGTTCGTGCTCTCTTTTCTGTATCCTCACATCCCATGTCCACAATGTTCCTCATCTTCCATTCCCATCATCTCAGGGTTCCATGTGCTCTTACCTCGCTTTTCTACCAATCCCTTGTCTAATATCCCAAGTGCTCCCCCTCGTGTGCTGTTCAACAAGATGCTCTTGTCCCAAGTGCTCGTCTCGTCACCCTTTCCGTATTCTCACTCACCCCGCCCAAAACCCACCCTTTCTGTGTAGCTCGAGAACCCCCTCCTTGAGCAGGCCAACGACGGCAAGCTCGGCACCGACCAGAGCCAGAACCGCAAGAAGTACGAGGCGACCTGCGCCAGGGTGCGGCGTTGGGTGGAGCACTCAGTGAACAACCTGGGGGTGCGCTACGACCCCACCACCAACGCCTACCAGTTCGGCTCCGGGGTGCTGATTGACGCTTCCGACTACCCCAGGCTCCCCAGGACTCAAGCCGGTGGAGAGTAAGTCAATGGTGCAGAGAGAGGAGTGGCAGTGGGGAAACGAGAAGCTGCGCGTGGAGCATCAGTGAGGGGCGGGAGGGGGACCAGAAGCTGGAGGGGCAGAGGCGTACGAGGAAGTGGTAGGAGCTGAGGAGGCGGCACATGTAGCTGAGAAGAGCAGCAGCTTGGGGCACTGGGGGGGGAAAAGGATAGAGAGCCAGCCGAGGGGAGCAGCAGAGGGGTGCAGTAAAGAGGAGCAGCAGCGCAGGGAGCAGCAGCAGAGGGGCGGCAACAGCAGACGAAACGGCAGCAGCAGATGGAGCGGCAGCAGCAGGCGGCGCAGCAGCAAAGGGCGCAGCAGCAGAGGGCGCAGTGGCAGAGGGCGCAGCAGCAGAGGGCGCAGCAGCAGAGGGCGCAGTGGCAGAAGGCGCAGTGGCAGAGGGCGCAGTGGCAGGGGGCGCAGTGGCAGGGGGCGCAGTGGCAGGGGCGCAGTGGCAGAGGGCGCAGTGGCAGAGGGCGCAGTGGCAGGGGGCGCAGTGGCAGAGGGCGCAGTGGCACAGGGAGCAGTGGCACAGGGCGCAGTGGCAAAGGGCGCAGTGGCAGAGGTGGCCGCAGTCCATGGGGTAGAGTTGCAGAGAGCAGCAAATTTGAGGCAGCAGCCAAGGAGCTTCAGCAGCGAGAGTGCAGCATCAGGGGGAGTACCAACAGCAGAGGTAGAGCAGAAGCAGAGGGAGTACCAGCAGCAGAGGTAGAGCAGCAGCAGAGGGAGTACCAGCAGCAGAGGTAGAGCAGCAGTAGAGAGAGTACCAGCAGCAGAGGGAGTACCAGCAGCAGAGGTAGAGCAGCAGCAGAGGGAGTACCAGCAGCAGATGGAGTATCAGCAGCAGAGGTAGAGAAGCAGCAGAGGGAGTATCAGCAGCAGAGGTAGAGAAGCAGCAGAGGGAGTACCAGAGGTACTACCAGCAGGGGTGGGTGCAGAGGCAGAGGGAGTACCAGCTGAGGGAGTGCAGCAGCAGAGGGAGTGGCTGCAGAGGGAGGGGAAAAGTGAGCGAGTGAAGAGCCCGGATGAGCAGAAGACAGGGAAGCACTGGAGAGTAGGGTGCTGGTGTGGTCAGAGCAGCTGCTGGGTTATTGGTGCAGCAGAGCGTAAAGATGCTGAGACAGTTACGTTTCTATTAGGGATTTTTAGATGATATCATGCTGTAATTGTGCTTAAATAATGACTACTACGATTTCAGCTTAGGAGAAATAAAATAATAGTAAGACGTTATATAACAAAGTACAGGAAATGGTTGTACATTATTTCAATTAATGACCACCATTCCACGTGGTTGGATGCGCAAAGTGCGGGTGACAACAGTGCGAAATCGGGATGTAATACGCTTGAACTCCGCTGGAAATACGGCCCTGAAAACAGGCGCAGTTACGCCTGTTACGCATGAGAAGAACAGGCATGGCAGTGCCATGATTTCAGACGGAAATCGACCCCGGTTTGCAGTCCGTTTTCAGCCTGACGTCCAGAACACAGCCTGTACACAGGCTGATTTCCCGGCCTGTAGTTTGCGAACCGTGCTGCAGCCTCCGGTGAAAGCGTACCCGATAGCGCCCTTGGTGGCGAGAACTGCGGCGCACACGGCACTCGTGCCCTCCACCTTGGAGAGGCCGTCGAAAGTCAGAGCAACGCCGTCCGTCGCGCCGGAGAACCCCGTCCCGGCCTTGGACCACATGGTCTTCACGATAGCGGTCGATCCGGACTTGTCGCTGCGAGCGACGCGGGTGATGGCCCCCGTAAGGCCCTTGGCTGAAGCGCCAGTAACGCCCGCCCACGTGGCGATTGTGCCGCTGTAGATCTGGTAGGACTGAGTCGCCGTCAGCACAAGGCCGGGCTTCCCGTTATAGAAGAAGCCGAAGGTGGAGACGCACAGCGGCACGGTGATCTTGCCGGGGCTGGCAGAGAAGCCGGCGCCCTCTTGCGCGGCGGTCATGGGTCATCGGAGACGGCAATGAGGTAGGTGCCGCTGTTGAAGCCCGTGATTCCCGTGCCGGATCCCACGGAGTCGTACGCGACGACGTCTTGAGAAAAGCCCGGCTTGGCCTTGTTTCCACTTGGCGACGATGGCTGCGCCCGCCTGTAATGGGAAGGGGCCGGGAAAAAACGGTGGTTGATCCATGTGACTACCATACCGCGTTCAGCGAGAGCTACTAAGCTCGTGATGAATCGAAGCAGTAACAGGAAGTTCATGTGAACAACGCGAAAGATAACTGAACGAGGAGACTTACGGGAGCAAAGGTTGAAGCGCCGGCCCATAAAACCAGCAAGCGCCTGTGAGGCGAACAAACGATCAGAATGGTCACAATCAGGTTGGCAGACGAGCGAGCCATGGTGAGAGATGTGGGTTGGGTTCAGGGCTCGAGTTTTCTCAGCCAGCTGAGGCTTTGCAAGTATGGGTGTGAGACTGTGCTTCTGGAAAACGCAATTTATAAGCGTGAATGCTGGGCACAGGATCGACATTTCGGGAAATGCGCTTCGGGTAGCTGGAGCCGCCCTCGTTGAGGGAGGTTGAATGTAAACTCTCGCGACAGTTTCCTCCCCACTCCCCACCCCAACCTCCAGCTCAGCCCTCCACTGGTTGTTGCACGATGGGACTTCCGAGGCTAAACGACTTCAGTAATTCGGTGCGACTACATCGTGGAGGCTTCAGAATTTCTCATACGGCCTCATGGAACAGCTGCTGACAGCGCGGAGGGTCCCACCGAATGCTGCTTTTGTGTTCAGGGTGTGCCAGCGTGGTTTGACAGCAAGATTCCGTTTGTACACAAATATGCGATTTTGGTCGGTGGATGGTATGGTAGCTGTAGCAGGTGAATCTCCCTGCATACTTCACCGTACAAAGAAAATATATGATGAGAATACAGCATGGTCAATTTTTACGAAGAGTAGACAACAACGAAGCATCACGGCTAATCAGAGTGCCCTCCAATTGTGTTTTATGCCAATAAGTTAATTAAGTGCCGTGCATCAGCAAGGGCTCATCGTGCGAAAAACTTTCGCGCAGCTTGTAATTTCTGCTCCTTCCAATAGTCACCTCTGAAGAATCACATTGTGCATCACATCGCCACCACATGGATGTTGAAAAAGCATCGACAATTCAAAACAGATGTGTTTGAAGTAGAAAAACAGGCGTGCTTGAAGTAGAATCAGTATCAGCAAAATTCATTACTATAGCGTTGACGTAACTAACGAATACTAGCAAGGCATACATGTTCGATATATGGTTTGGTGTTGTACTCGCTAAGAGCACTTACCCATCTAGCCAAAAACTATACATACAACACATATGTATAAGTTGACACTGTTAGCATACGAGCATAATGGACTAGAAGGTGAAACAAGGAACATATAGCTATTGGGTTGTACTCCCTAGGAGCACACACTGATACTAGCCTATAACTTCTACATGCATGACATGTATAAGTTGACACACCCCCTAGGCTAGAGAAGGGGTGGTGCAAGCAAGAAGCACACAGCTCAGGGAGGCACTACTAGTCCAACCACTGAGGCAGGGGTCCAAAGACCAGTCAGCAAGAGTACAGACAAGACAAAAACAAACTAGGGCGGCAATACTAGTCCAGCCACTGGGAGTAAAGCCACAAGGCTAGTTAGACAGGAATATATATAGTGAGGAGTATCAGAATAATTGAATAATGGTAAAGATGAGAGTACACACAAATATACCTAAGTGTTGTACCCTCTAAGCGGTAACCCTATACAGTCTATACAAACATAACAAATACAGATGTTTGACACACCCCCTAGACTGCATAGGGGAATACCCTAAACAAGCAGCTCAGGGCGGCACTACTAGTCCAACCTCTGAGACAAGGGTCTGAGAGACCAGTCAGAAGGAGTACAGACAAGGCAAGAACAAGAGCAGGGCGGCACTACTAGTCCAGCCACTGGGAGAAGGACACAAGTCCAGTCTGAGTATACATATAAAGGACAGTACAAGTCAAGGTCCTAGCAAGTGAGAAGCAACAGGAACTAGACCAAGCTGTACACAGTGCCGCTGATGATCTTTAGGCGCAAGCGCCTTCGTAAAGATATCAGCTGTGTTGGCACCTGAGGCCAGTGTACTACGCGAGCCTGACGTCGCTGCTGTAGCTCACGCAGGAGGAAGTACCGCAACTGAATGTGCTTCGCTCTGCCCTCGAGTCGAGGCTCCTG